ATATGAACAATTTTTTTAATTCTTAGATAAAATTAATAATTGAATCACACCTTTTTATTTTTTTCCTTAATTTTAAGTAGGTTATTCTAAATGTCCTGCAATAAAAATTGAGAGCAGTGGCCAATGACTTTTTACCATGCACGTCATTTTACACTGTGTCTAAATATAATAATTTATTTTAATTATCTGAAAAAGACCAGTTCGTGGAAGCCAAGTGGAAGATCACAGGAAAGACACGTTGACAGTCTTCAAGTGCGACGACGTCACTGTAGACTTCGCCAGACCTTGTGTTAGTAATAACCACATGTTCCTAATCCTAATCTTAAACTCAACCTTATATTTAAAGAAATCTTAAGGGAGTTGTTTGATGTTATTGATTAGATGACAAGTTTTCGATCAGATTTTTTTTTTTAATCCCGTCCCTTCTTTGTTCCGTCGTCACTCATACAGCCCGCAAAACTAAAATCCAGACACATGAAATAAAATAATAACTTGAGATTTGACAATTCATTTGAAATCAAAGTTAAGATTAAAAAGTTTTAGAAGGAAAGATAAAAAATATTATGAGAAAATATAATTAAGAATTTTATCCGTTTAGGTTAGATTTATGGTGCCCACCGAGTTACATTATAAATGAGTGATTCGTGTCATCAAAACATATCCAACCCATATTACCAACCTATGTACATGTGTGGTTACTCAAAGTTGAAGATCTAGCCCAGTGAAAAAGAGACCCCACCTGGCACGTTCTAGAAAGCTTAATAAGTAGTTAGACAAGTTTGTATGTGAACACAAAAAAAAAAAAAAAACAATGAGATAAGTTGTTTCTAAATCAAAAATTAAAGGAAGTTTAAGTAAAGTTGACAGCAGCTGCAGGGAGAAGGATGATCGTCGATCGTGCAAAACGTGGAAGGAAAAAGTTTCTTCGCTTTTTGTTCTTTAATGTTCTCTAGTAGTCAGTATAATAGTTATATATGCAAGAGTTTTATTAAAAAATAATTATAGTTAATATACATGATTAATAAAAATATTTTCAGAAAATAAAACATATTTATTATAAATATATAACTTAATTAATTTTTTAATCTATTCAAATTAGTTAACTCGTTGTTATATTAAGGATCGGAGGTAGTATGATTTAGATATAATATTTTGAAAAACTGCTATGAAAATATTTTGTAAAAATAAATTTAAATTATTAATTTGATCAAAACAATTCATAACAGTATTATACAAAATAGAAACATTTTAATTTATAATCATTTTAATAATAAATTTTCAAGATATTAAATCTGAATAATTTATTTTTAAAAAGATGGAGGGAAATTCTGAAAGTTTCTATTAAAAAAATTTTAAGAAGAAAAGGAGGTAGCGGAATAAGGGGATCTATTAAATTATAAAAAACAAACAAAATTAAACTAAGTAAACTTTAGGCATAATAATTTAAAATAATTATGCCAATCAGGGGAAAGGAAGTGAACGGCAATAGTCGGAGCTGGAGACTCGCATCGCGGACCCGGACAGGACTGGTCAACACCTAAGTCAATGAAAGACTTTTCTGTGTAGGTGTAGATTATTAAACGGGTTGTTGAAAGACTTTGAATTTTCTAACACGCCAACTCATGTGTGTGCGCTTGTGTATATATTTTAGTTTTTTCCCAAAACTTTTTGTGCGGTTGTTGGGTTTAAACTTTTGTTTTGGGTGAAATTAGACTTAATATTTTTTTAGTATAGTATATCCTACTTTCGGTTTTTAATATACGACTTTATTTGACTTTATTTTAATCTTAAATATAAGACTCCAATCCACTTTGTTTCTCATATTTATACTTTTTTTTTCCCAAGATAGTTCTCTTAATAATAGTAGTTATAGTCAATATACTTAGTTAGTAAGGATATTTTAGGAAAGACAACACATATTTATTACAAATAACTAACTTAACTTCTTTTTTTAATTTCTTCGAATTAGTCAACTAACTCTTATAATTAGGATCGGAGGTAGTATATCGTTTGAATGAGGAAGATTCGATTTACACTCTTCCTAATATTTTCTTATAAATAATTAAAACGTATGTCTTTTTATTTTTAGTTTTGATATATACATTTTTTCTTAGCATGATAATAGTTTACATTCGATTTTTATTTTACTGTTTCTCGTCATCAAAGAACTGGCGAAAATCGAGAAACCATAAGCATTTCCTGCAGCCACGGTGACTGTAGAAGATTCGAGAAGAAGCTCCAAAAACGACTTAAAAGTTAAAACTCCCGACCCCCGAATTCGTATTGCTAAATTTTACTCAGAACAACAAAAATTGCAAAAGACTAGGACAACAAAAACGTGTTTAAAAAATTATTTTATACGACATTTAGTGAGGTTTGTTCAAATTTTTCAACGTGGATATGACACTTGAGCCATATTTTATTGTCTTTCATATTAAATTTTCTTTTTTCATGATATCCTTATTTATTAGGTATTTTTATCCCCACGTATTAAATTTTAATTATTAAATGACAGAGTTATTTTTTAAAAAATTAATATAAATTTTTTACATATTAAATACAAAAAATCGACTAACTTTTTTTTTAAAGTTTATGAATTGAATAAAAAAATTATAAATAAGATAAGATGAACTATGGAGTAAATGAGATCAAGATTGTTAAACTCATGAATTTAAGTAAACTTGTAATCAAGATGTGAGCTCAGATCATAAACTTGTAAAAATTTATTTTTATTAATAAATTTGTATTGAATTTGGGAGAAAACTTACCTCCAGTTCTTTATATCTTTTATATCCGGTTTTTCAATAAATAACTGCTATTTGCATCTTTTATACACGTCAATGTTAACGGCGTTAGTCTCCGACGCTCTGTACTTGTTCACAAATCGAAGAACCGTGTTTTCACTCTCTCCCTCAGACTAACCAAATCGCCGACAAAATCCCATAATCCTTTTAATTCATCTTCATCTTTTAAGAACTGGAGCGAAACCAAAGAGACCAAGAATGCCATTGATCATGATTCTCTGTTTATTGGCAGTAACAGGACATTCCAATTGAACAAACTCCTCATCAAGAAATAGAAATTGCTGGGGGGTATAAACTCCTAGATGAGTTATTAATTAAATATTAAACTAGTTTTTATCAGAGAATAAAACAGAAAAACCGCAATGATTCCTATTCTCTTGTGGGGGTTTTTCTTTCTTTTATTTTTCTCCTACAGAAACCTAGCTAAAATGAAAAGAACCATACTCCTCACGTTTCCTTCTTCTTCTTCTTCTTTCTTTCTTTCCTTTGGATATTTACAGTAAGTAGTAAGAGAAGACCCTGGGATTTTCATTTTTATCCGTGGCAACTGTGAAAATCATATAGGGAGATGGACGGGAAGGATTGAAACGGTGTTAACGTTGATGTGTATAAAAGATACAGATGGCAATTATTTATTGAAAAACTGGATGTATAGGATATAATGAACTGGAGGTAAGTATTCTCCTTAAATTTATATAATTAAATAATTAAGATATAAAAAACAACAACAATTTTATTTAAATATATTTTAAATCCAACTAATTGAAATTAAATTCGTCAACATTTACAACTTATCATATTTAACAAAGAAATCTCTGTGAAATTCAAATATAAAGTTACTATGCATAATCAAATAAAAAAATTTAGTACAATTTAAGAACGAGTTAATATGATTTTGTAAGCTGAAAACATAAAAGTAGTAAATTAGGTAAATAAATTCAAACCGAGTTTATAGCTAACACGAATTTAAAAATAAATTAACACGATTTTATACGTTGAAAACATAAAAACATTAAATTTAGATATTCAACTTACGAGCTTAACAATAATGAATGAGAATATGAGACAGTGACTCCCACGGAATGAACAATAATTTTTAAGATAAGTTAATAAATGAGTTGTTAATCATGTTTTCAATTATTTGAAAAAGTCTAAAAGAGGGGGAATAGTTCCTTATCACATATACAAAAGAAAAAACAAGACAAAGCACAACGAACGAGTTCGTGGAAGCCAAGCGGAAGATTGTAGTTGGGACAGGTTGACAGTCTTCAAATTCGATGACGTCACTGAAGACTTCGTCAGCCCTTGTATTAGTAACCCAATGTTCGCAGTCATAATCTCGAACGCAACCTTAAAGAAATCTTAAGAGAGTTGTTTGATGTTATTAATCAGATGACAAGTTTTCGATCAGATTTTTTTTTCTTATCCTGTCCCTTATTTGTTCCATCATGCAGCCCCCAAAACTAGAATCAAGACACATGAAATCAATAATAACTTGAGATCCTACAATTCATTTGAAATCAAAGTTAAGATTAAAAAGTTTTAGAACGAAAGATAAAAAATATTTTGAGAAAACATAATTAAGAATTTTAAATTGTCCTTTCTAACATATCTAACCCATATTACCACCCTATATATGTGTGGTTACTCAAAGCTCAAGATCTAGCCAAATTAAACAGAGACAACATCTCGCACGTTCTAGAAAGCTCAATAAGTAGTTAGACAAGTTGATATGAACACACACAAAAAAAAAAAAAGCACAATGAGATAAGGTGTTTCTAAATGAAAGATTAAAGGAAGTTTACCGTAAAGTTGACAGCAGCTGCAGGGAGAAGGATGATCATCGATCGTGCAAAATATGGAAGGAAAAAGTTTCTTTACTTTCTGTTCTTTCGTGTTCTTTGACCTGCTAAAGGAAGTAGAAAGCCTATTTTATTTCCTTTTGTGGTTTTCTTTATTTGACCAGGTAAAAAAAAAAAGAAGAAGAAGAAGGAAAAAGTTTGCGCGTCGTAAAATGTGGGCGGAGTAATTTTACATATTTTGTTGAATGACTATTGAAGAACTGGCCAACTGGGCAAGCGTGGTGTAATAATAAAGCATGCATTGATGTTTAGCTATAAATTGAACTTCCCAGGCTTCACTTCTTCCATCTCAGCCTTCAGCCCTGCAACATCTCCTCAATTCTTCCAATCCGTCCTTCTCTAATCTTCCACACCAATTCTCGCTACTCATCCTTCACTCTTCTCCCCGCAAGAAATGGCCAAGGTTTGGACTGATCACCCTTGCCAGTGCATATATCAATTTCAACTTATTGATTGATATGTCTTAGTGAAATTTGAAGAACAGTTCTCATAGGGGAGACATTTATTGGCAAACGGACCAGTGCAACTCTTATTTAGCTAGCTTTGTGCAACAGTCATTTAGCTCTAACTTTCAAAATGAAACTCAATTGCACGTAGCTACATAGCTGTAGTTATGGATCTTCTTGGCAAAAATTTTTACAAATAAGAACTTTAATTTTCACCATGTTTCCTTGTATTTTTTTCATTTATTATAGATTTATATATCTCTCAGGAAAAATATTGGTCTTCTGTTTCGTTATTAGTTATTACAATTGGCTCGCTTGTGAACTTATATATTTTTTTATTCATATTTTGAATTAGTCTCCATAATTGTCATTTTTCTTTTTGGTTTAATTTGATGAAATATTCCAGAGCTTGGGGTGGTAAGTGGTAACTGATCATCTGCCTTTATTCTAAGCAGAAAATAGTGTTGAAGGTGGCAGTACACGGTGACAAAATCAAGCAGAAAGCCATGAAGGTGGCCTCAGGCATTTCAGGTAATTTCAACTTGTTACACCAAAGCAAAAACAAGGGGACTTTGATATCACTATCATATATTTTTTAAAATGAAAAAAATGAATATTAGTAATGGGCAAAAAGTGAATTAATTAACAATTATATATGAGCAGGGGTGGATTCAGTGGCAATGGAAATGGAGGAGAAGAAGCTGACAATAGTGGGAGAGATAGACGCAGTGATGGCAGTGAAGAAGCTGAGGAAGCTGTGTCGCACAGACATAGTTTCAGTGGGATCCACAAAGGAAGAAGAGGCGCAGAAGAAAGAAGAAGCTGATAGCTACTCCTGTTACCCCCATTATTATCCTCCCACACCCGGCCTATATTGCTGCTATTACCACAATTATTAATACTACTTTCGATCCTAATTATAAGATTTTATTTATAGATTATAAACGAGGTTTTATAATTAAGACGAAAGAATTAGTAACATCCTCCTGCCTCTGTCATCTGTTGAGGAATTTATTTACAATTTTTTTTAAAAAAAAGAAAACAGAGGAATGGTTGGTCCTACGTGGAGAGGAACACCGAGCTCCAACTTTAACGATTGCATGGGGAGCCAACCAGGAACCGACATTTTGGCTTCTTCCTACAAACCTTGCGTCCTTCACTTTATTTTTCTTTTTCTTTTTTCACATACTTAAGTTTCCATATAATTTTCCCCTTATGGCTTTATGATGAGATATATATATCTCTACATGAAATTATAAATTATGTGGGGCTTCATTGGCATTGATTTATTGACATAAACAGCACGCCTGTCTACTCCTTGACATGTATTATTAAAATTATTTTTTTTTTTGCGCAAATAAGTGATTAGATAATTGTAACCTTTAAGGGGTATTCCATCTACATCTCAAATTGAAATCCATGCTTGTATTTTATAAAATTATTACTAAAATATTAATTTTTTAACAGATAAATAAGTAAAATTAAACTATTAAATTTTAATCATGATAATTAAAACATTTAATAAAATAAATTTTTTACAAAATATGAAATCTGAACTAATATCATGATAATTGAAATGAGAAATAAATGGAAATGGGCGGAAAGAAGAGGTGGTTTCCCACTAACAATTAATACTAACATCAGCCAAACCGCGTCATCAAAGTCAGATGCGCCCACCAATTTCACGGTTCTCGAATCACGATCCCTTCTTCGAAACTTCACTTTACCCCCGGGGCCCCCTCCCCCCCCAAACCAAAAAAAGAGAGGGGGGGGGGGTGGGGGAGAAAAAAGTTCATAAGATTGAATATATCGTGTAAAATCAATAATAATAAATTTCGACTGTGAAAAAATACAGAGAGAATGATTAATAACCTTGCGATATGGTGTCTCTAGAAACGTCTCAAGCAGATATTTTTTGTAATTTTTTTGTAATGGAGCCGCAAAGATCAGTGTTTGATAAGATCCCCAGGAAGTGAGTTTTTGCACGCAACTTTTTGCAAGCCGTAAAAGGTCACCCCCACGGCTCCCCCTCCATTAACCCAAATCCCTATCTTTTGAAAATAAATGAAACCATAAGTTGATTTTCTAGCAGATCAGTATATGACGCGATATGCCGCTAGAAAGCCGCTTTCTTTGCCCTTTTTGTCTTTTTTTTCCCACTCCTTTTGCATATGCCACGCGTAGAAATTTTTCTAGTTTTTGAATATACGATTTTTAAAAAAAAAAATCGTGAAGCGTTTATTGAGTTCTTCTAACAAATTCAGGCCAAACAAAGAAGAGACACGATGATCAAATTTGAGAGAAAAACAACTGTCTAATAATTATAAGAGTAATAATATTTAGATGAAAGAAAAATTGTGAAATTTGGACAATTTTTTTAAAATTTTTCACTCAAATATTCTTTGTTAATTACCAGACTAAATGCAATCTAGAAAATATGTAATTTATATACAATATCAAAATTAAAGGCTCAGTTTTCCCATTCAGGATTGGAAAGGAAAAAAACACGCCTTAATTAAATGAAAAAAAGGGGGAAAAACAGAGTTTGCGCGTTGGAGGGTCAATTATTGCTGCCATTTGACTTGGCTTGACTTTCTCTCTCCCTTTGGCTACGTCTTGTATATAAAATCTCCCCTCAAGCTTCGACTGCTGCGTTCCACCTTCAATCATCTCCTTGTCTTTCTCTTCACGTTCTTATCAGCAACGCTTTCTTAGCCCTCCCACATTCCAACAGAAATTATGAAGGTCAGAACTTGACTCTTTCATCATCTATATATAAATGCATGCATCTAACTTCGTTTAACCTCTTCGTTCAATTTTCAGAGAGTTTTGCTTTGTTTGCCTTTCATGTCTGATCAATCATCTTTGCTCGATTCATTATGTGACAGAAAATAGTGTTGAAGGTGGACTTATTCGATGAAAGAATCAAGAAGAAAGCCATGAAGGCAGTCTCTGGCATTGCAGGTACATTCAAATTCAGCAGCTTCTTCATGTTCTTTCCCATCCATGTCCTGTATATTATTAAAAACCTTTCTCGAGCATGCTGGGTTTAGTTCAATTTAAGGTTTCACACGTTAATTGCGCTGGACTAATAATGGCATTAATGTTGCAGGAGTTGAGTCAGTGTCGGCGGACACGAAGGCAAAAACATTGACGGTGATCGGAGACATAGATCCTGTGTGTGTAGTGGGGAAGCTGAGGAAGTTGTCTCCCACAGAGATAGTTTCAGTGGGAGCAGCCAAAGAAGAGAAGAAAAAGGAAGAGCCTAAGAAGGAAGAGAAGAAAAAAGATGAACCAAAAATGGCTGTGCCGGGCTATGATTATTATTATTATTGTCATCCAATAAGACCCTACCCATATTGCTATGTGACTTGTGTTGAGGAAAATCCTAATCCCTGTGTCATTTTGTAATTAAGCACCTTTTGAATTTTCATTTTCAGAGTTTCCACGCAAAATAATGGGTATGGATGCTTGTTAACAGAGTACTGGTGTATTACTATTTCAAGTCTTTGATTTAAGATCCAGATTATTATTATTTTTGTTTTCTGAGTAGAAAGGTAATTGATTAATCAAGAGCATGTACAGGCACATAGAAATGCAGAAGAGGCCGATTACAAAACAGAGTAAAGGAAGCTAACTGCAAACCTAGGGACTAGAAGCGACAAAACTAATGCAACTGGTTACAAAAGAGCTAAACTATTATAAATCATGAGTATTAACTAGTTAGAATTATCATTTTATAAAATTTTTAACATATATAATTATTACAAAGACTATCTAAAAAAATTAAAAAAAAAGAGACAAAATGAATTGGAATTTTATATTTAACATCAAATTGAATGTCAAACTAGTTCTTATGTTAACTATGAAAGGTAGTATGTTACTGGAAAACGTAATCTTTACTCAATTTATTTCATCCCTAGTCCTTACTTCCTCCTTACTTCCTAAACTAACAAGGAACAGATATTTAAAATTAATTTTCCCCAATTATTCTTGAATACTTGAGTTCTTGTCTCTGTGTTTTTTCCCCTGTTATGTCAAGATAATAATACACACACACACGGCACTTCATGTTTATTTTTTGAATGAAAATGATCACTCTCCTTTCGAAACTTTTTTGGTTTGTTAAGAGTAATTTAATTACAATTTTTTTTAAAAAAAAAAAGAGTAATGGTTGGTCCTACGTGGAGAGGAACACCGAGCCCCAACTTTGACGACTGCACGGGGATCCAACCAGGAAGTCAGGAACCGACATTTTGGCTTCTTCCTACAAACCTTTCGTCCTTCACTTTATTTTTTTTTCCCCCCCACATATTTAAGTTTCCATATAATTTCCCCTTATGACTTTATGATGATATATATATATCTATATAAAATTATAAATTATATGGGGCTTTATTGGCATTGATTTTCAACATTTCACGATGAGCCCTGTTGACATGGACAGCATGCCTTTCTACTCCTTGACGTGAATTATTAAAAAAAAAATTTTGGGCAAATAAATGATTGGATAATTGTCACCTTTAAGGGGTATTCCATCTACATCTCAAATTGAAATTCATACTTGTATTTTATAAAATTATTACTAAAATATTAATTTTTTTAACGGATAAATAAGTAAAATTAAACTATTAAATTTGAATTATGATAATTTAAAATATTTAACAAAATATTTTTTTTTTTGAATATGAAATCTGAACTAATATCATGATAATTGAAATGAGAAATAAATCGCAATGGACAGAAAGAAGAGGCCGTTTCCCACTCACAATTAATACTAACATCAGCACAACCGCGTCATCAAAGTCAGATGTGCCCACCAATTTTAGGGTTCATGAAGCGTGCTTGCCTCCTGATCCTTCCTCGAGACTTCACTTTCCCCGGCCCCCACCCGGAAAACAACGCACCCCCCCCCCCCCCCAAAAAAAAATCGACTATGAAAAAATACATAGAGAATGGTTAATAACCTTGCAACACGTGTCTCTCGAAATGTGCCAAGCAGATTTTTTTTTTTTTTTTTGTAATTTTAGATGGCCGTGATAATGGAGCCACAGAGATCAGTGTTTGATTAGATCCCAAGGAAGCGAGTTTTTGCACGCAACTTCTTGCAAGCCCTACAAGGCCACCCCTATGGCGCCCCCTCCATTAATCCAAATCCCAATCTTCCTTCACAATTTTCTCTGGCCGTCCCTACCATGCGTTGAAAATAAATGACACTATAAGTTGATTTTCTAGCTAATCAGTATATGACGCGATATGCCGCTAAAAAGCAGATTTCTTTTCCCTTTTTGGTTTTTTTTTTTAACTCCTTTTGCATAGTACCATGCCTAGAAATTTTTCTAGTTTTTGAATAAGCGAATTTTTTGGCCAAACACAAATGTTCTTCTAAGCAAAGAAGAGACACTATGATCAAATTTGAGAGAGAAACAACTGTCTCATAATTATAAGAGTAATAATATTTAGATGCAAGAAAAATTGTGAAATTTGGACAATTTTTTTAAAAAATTTTCACTCATATTCTCTGTTACCAGACTAAATGCAATCTAGAAAATATGTAATTTGTATACAATATCAAAATTAAAGGCTCCATTTTTCCATTCAGGATTTTAAAGGGAAAAAAACACTCCTTCATAAAATAAGAAAAAACGGGGGAAAAAAACAGTTTGAGCGTTGGAGGGTTAACTATTGCTGCCATTTGACTTGGCTTGACTCTCTCTATCCCTTTGGCTACGTCTCTTTATAAAATGTCCCCTCAAGCTTCAATCGCTTCGTCCCATCTTCAATCATCTCCATCTCTTTCTCTTCAAGTTCTTATCAGCAACGCTTTCTTAGCCCTCCCACATTCCAACAGAAGATATGAAGGTCAGAACTTGACTCTTTCATCATCTATATATACATGCATGCATCTAACTTCATTTAACCTCTTCGTTCAATTTTCTGAGAGTTTTGCTTTGTTTACCTTTCTTGTCTGATCAATTATCTTTCCTTGATTCTTTATGTGACAGAAAATAGTGTTGAAGGTGGAATTATACGATGAAAGAATCAAGAAGAGAGCCATGAAGGCGGTCTCTGGCATTCCAGGTACATTCAAATTCATCAGCTTCTTCATATTCCTTCCCATCCATGTCCTGTATATCATTAAAAACTTTTCTTGAGCATGCTGGGTTTAGTTCAATTTAAGGTTTCAAGCGTTAATTGCGCTGGACTAATAATGGTATTAATGTTGCAGGAGTTGAGTCAGTGTCGGCGGACATGAAGGCAAACACATTGACTTTGATCGGAGACATAGATCCTGTGTGTGCAGTGTGGAAGCTGAGGAAGGTGTCTCCCACAGAGATAGTTTCAGTGGGAGCAGCCAAAGAAGAGAAGAAAAAGGAAGAACCTAAGAAGCCAGAACCCAAGAAGGAAGAGAAAAAAGAAGAACCAAAAGTGGTTGTGCCGTGCTATGAATATTATTATCCAATAAGACCCCACCCATATTGCTATGTGACTTGTGTTGAGGAAATTCCTAATCCCTGTGTCATTTTGTAATTTTGCACCTTTTGAACTTTGATTTCAGAGCCAAAGAAGAGAAGAAAAAGAAGAACCTGAGAACCCAGAACCCAGGAAGGAAGATCCGAAAAAAGAACCAAAAGTGGTTGTGCCGTGCTATGATTAGTATTATCCAATAAACCCCCCCCCCAATGTTGCTATGTGACTTGTGTTGAGGAAAATCCTAATCCCTGCGTCATTTTGTAACTAAGCACCTTTTGAATTTTGATTTTCAGAGTTTCTACGCAAAATAATGAGTGTAGATGCTTGTTAACAGAGTACTGCTGTAGTACTATTTCAAGCCTTTAATATAAGAACTAGACCATTATTATTTTTGCTTTTTGAGTTGAAAGGTAATTGATCAATCAAGAGTATGTAGAGGCGCGGAAGAGGCCGATTACAAAACAGAGTAAAGGAAGCTAACTGCAAACCTAGCGACTAGAAACAACGAAGCTAATGCAACTGGTTACAAAAGAGCCAGACCAGTATAAATAATGTGTATTAGCTGGCTAGAATTATCATTTTATGAAATTTTTAACACCCACAACTATTACAAAGACCATTTTAAAAAAATATGAGAGGCAATATAGATTGAGATTTTATATTTAAAGTCAAATTGAATGCCAAACTAGTTCTTATAATAACTATGAAAAGTAGTGTTTTACTGGGAAAAGTAAGCTTTGCTCAATATATTTCATACTTAGTCCTTACTTCCTCAACTAACAAGATGCTGTTATTTAAAATTAATTTTCCCCAATTATTCTTGAATACTTGAGTTCTTGTCTCTCTGTTTTCCCCCCGGTTATGTTAAGATGATAATATGTGCACACACACGGCACTTCATAACTATGTTTATTTTTTGAATGAAAAATGATCACTCTCCTTGCGAAACTTTTTTTGTTTGTTTGAGTAGCCCTGTTTCCCAAACAAGGCAGTCTCAATCTATCATATTCAGATTATTTAATTATAATTTGTAAATTACAGCTGGGAAAAGAAAAATAGTGATTGATGATTAATGCACGTTGTGGATAGTAAAAAAGAAGTTTGAAAAAGATGATCGTGTTATTCAAAGGGAAAATGACCCATTCCCACTAGCCTCTTCTGTGCGTCATTTGAGGGGCGAAATAACCTCAGAGAATCACCTCGATTTTGGAAGGTAACCATTATTTGCAGCTGAGGTTGTGATTTCTGCATTTAAGCACTCGATTTAGGTTCTAATTTTGCATTATTTTTCCCAAACCACACAAAATGAAATAATATTTTCATTACTTTCCATGTTCTAATCAAATTCAATTAATAGATTTCATCTTCATTCATATTGTTATTTTATTTTTCCACTCCATTTAAAAACAATCTATATATACCAAACTGATCGTACAAAAATAGAGATTCTTGCATCTCTGGCTCCTTTATATGAAATTGCAATTTTTTTCCCCTAATACGGTTTTACTCTATAAATACCTCCGATCTTAGCTTTAGCCTCACATTTTCAATCAAACCACTACCTAGAAGCTGCTTCCGTCCTTCCTTTCTGTTTCCATCTGCAATCTGACGCAAAATGATGGTGAGAGTTTCATCTTTTTCTCCTTCATGTCTTGGAAAAATATCTTGAGACTTCTTCTTCTCGACCCCTTTCACGCATCACTCGCTAAATTCTATTTTATTACTATCAGTAAAATCATCTCCTTTCTTCTAACTTACTTCTCTGTGTTTTACTGCGTGAGACAGAAAGTAGTGCTGTGGGTGGACTTCGATTGTGAGAAAATGAAGTCCAAAGCCATGAAGGCAGTTTCTAAACTTCCAGGTACTGAATCGTAAAACACCACATCAAGAACAGAACTCTATGGATCATAAACTTGGGAATTATAATATACCATGATATATATACATATATGTTGAAGGGTTTGTCGTGATTAATTTAACCTTTGTAGGAGTTGAATCAGTGTCAGTGGACACGAAAGACAAGAAATTGACAGTAACTGGAGACGTGGACCCAGTGTGTGTAGTAGACAAGCTGAAGAAGGTGTGTAATACAGAAATAATATCTGTAGGACCAGCGAAGGAGCCAGAGAAGAAGAAGAAGGAAGATTCCAAGAAAGACGATGATAAGGCAAAGAAGGAAGCAGAAGAAAAGAAAAAACTTGAGTTGGAGGCACAAAGGCTGGCTGAGCTCATGAGTTTGTCAGAGTATTATCACCACCAGATGAGACATCCATATCCATATTACTGTAGAAGCATGGTTGAAGAAGACCCAAATAGCTGTGTCATTTGCTGAATGTTAGATCAAACTCATATCATCAGATCACTTTGAAGATATTGATTCTGAACGAAGGAGATGGCTTTGTTTGGGTTGTGTGTTTCTGTTCAGTTCATGACTTTTTCTCTTGCTTAATTTCTGTTCAGGATGTTTGTAATGAAGTGACTATATTTGATTTTGCCGATCTTGACGGTTTTCTGTTCAGACTTTTTCGTAGTCCAAGTCTTCTCACGAAGTCTTTCTTTTATTGCTATTACATTTGAGCATCTGGACTCGTACCACTGACAGCCCATGGTTTAATTAATAATCTCCATTAAATTTTCAGAAGAAGAATACTGATTGCCACGTGGTTCCAGAAAAGATGCATTGTTGTCAAATTAATGCATGAGTTTGATGGTCAACACTGGCAACTTTGGCTAATACTCGTTGATAAATTTATAATTAAGCAATTAAGAAGCACATGATGGGGTTTGGTACGAAATTATTGATAAACATGGGTCATTAATCTCATTGATAAATTTATAGATATCCATAGAAAATGACAAAAGGGTCTTTAACATTTGAAGTTTGTGCTGAAATTGACCTCCCTATCTGTAAGAGAGTGACATGAGTCTGATGAGTTGGGATCTGCTTAATATAATACTCAAATCATAGGATCAAGTCACAGATTATATTAATAATATTCAATGTATAATTAACAGATAATGAGATCTTGTGTCTTCCAAAGCCTGGGGTTATAATAATATTAAGAAATTGATTATGTCATATACATGAAGCAAGTTGCAACTGGCAGATGCTCCCTTACAGTGCATTGTGTAGTCTTCCCAACGTTCAGTCGGTTCAATGAATGGGTTCCAAAATACCCATTGGTGGACATACCAAAATTATCACCCATTAAAATTGGAGAGCCCAACATTTTATTGTCAAAGTAAACCGTCCAATATGAGACTCATGATGGACTTTATAAGTTGCAAAATCGTTGGATTTTCTTTTTAAGTGAAAAAATTGTTGGCTACTAGCCGTATCAAAAAATTAAAAAAATAAGATTATAAAATTTTAATAAAAAATATAAAACAAAAAAGTAATAAAAATTAATTAAAAACTTTTAGCCCTATTTTATTGATTTTTTAAATTGAGTTTATCAAAAAAAATTTCTCCCCTCTTCTCCTTTTCATTTTACTCATACCAAAACTATCGTCATAGTACAAACTCATACATATTCCCTCTCTTATTTTTACAACTTGAATATATGGAAAGTGTATGTGTAAAAAGACTATGGCTCTGTTTGGTTAGAGAAGAGGGGAGGAGAGGAAATAAGTGTGTTTGGTTGGAAAAAATAAAAAGGAGGGGAGGGAAGAAATTTGTTTTTTAGTGCTCACTTCCCCTTCTCATGCTCCCTTCTAAATTTGGGATTTTTTTTTATGGGAGAAAAATATTATGTCTAATGTTAACTAAATTACCCATACTAGTTTTTCAATATCTCAAGTTTGTCCATCTTATTAAAAATCTTTTTTTCACTTCTTTCTCTTTTTAGTCACTAATAATATTTGGTAATGATAATATAATATTATAATTATATAATATATACATATCATATATATATTAATATATGTATATCAGAACATGTGTGTATTATAATTATATATCATAACGTGTGTGTATTATAATCTCAGATAACATGCATATATATTAATATATACATATCATAATGTGCGTGTTATAATTTTTTTAGTTTTATCATTTTTTTTATCACATGTAAATGACGTAATTGGTTTTTTTAAATTAATAAATTAAAAAATAATAATTTTGATGTAAATATTGTAATAAAAAAATAAATCAGTCTAGATATAGAAATAAAAGTATATTTGTTAATTTATAATTACCTATCCTCCCTTCCTCTTATGAACCAAACAAGAAATCTCTCATCCCTTCTACTCCCCTCCAATCAAACAAAACCATGACCTCCCTCCCCCTCTCTTCCCTTTTCTTTAATTAACCTCCCCTCCCCTCCCCTCTATTGAACCAAACAAAGCCTAAAGGAAGGGTGAGCAACACTGCAACTACACAAACGAGGAATATGGGTCAGTTTGGATTAGCAACTGAAAAAGTAGCTTTTGGAAAAGCAAAGCTAGGTAAAGTGTCCGTTTGGATGAGCTATTGGAAAAAAAGCTTATGGAAAAGTGAAGCTGGTAAAAACTAAATTGAATAAGTTGAATTGTGTTTGGATTAGAGTTTAGAAAAGCTAGTTTACAAAAGTGATATTGGTAAAAAGTTGTTTGGATTATAGTTGAGTAAAAGCAAGTCTGATTATAAAATGATCAAAATGGGTATAAGTGTTAATAAATAATGAAACATGATAAAAAATGATTTGACATAATACAATGAAATTAAAATCATTTATTATGAAGAAGTCAAATTAATGAGTGAATTAAATTTTAAAAACCAAATTAAGAACGATGAACAAGATTATTTACAAAAATATGTTATATTTATTATAATTAACTAATTTACCTAATTTTTCAATATAATCAAATTAGTTAAATAAATCTCATGTCAGAGAGAAGTAAGAGAATATAATAGGAGAAAGAACAACATTAACTTTATTCTAATTGAGACTAAAGAAATTAATTCCAAATGATTTTTAAGTAATTACACACATAGTCCTTAATTTCTTTGTATAGTACAAATTAATGTCTTATTATTCATCATATCTCATACAGAATATACTACTCATGATATCAACGCTATTAATTAGCTCTATCAAAGAAGTCAATTACTTTGCAAGTGAATGATAATGTTTGTGCCTCTCTTTTTTGATAAAAGTAAT